ACCAAGGGTATTTAGTTTTTTCACTTGTGCCAGCAAATCAACACAAAGTTCAATTAGGAGAGAAATAAAAGGAAAGCAAAGAGGTTCAGGTTATATGTCCATTTTCTAAGCACATAAATGCCCAATTAACAGATATATTCCCAATAAGATTAGTACAAATGTCAAAAGGATGATAAAAATCAGTCTTACTCTCCTTCTCTTGGTATCAATGCATGTATGGATCCTGAATTATGTTAAATAAAATACTCTTCTTTTGAATCTGTTGTTGATATGATTTCAGAGCTTGGACAAGGCAAGGTAGATATTAAAATGCCTTCAGATTACTTCCTATTTATCATGGGGATTTTGAGTTGTTAGGTTTCACATTTAATGGAAAATATCGTATTTATAATGTCTACCAATGGAATGTCCGTTATCTTGTGCCATTTTTGAAAAGTTTTAATCTAGATAATTTCATTTTTTCGGGAAGTGAAGGTTCAGGAAAGTGTTTTGTTTTAATGAGCTCATTTCATTCGATTTGAACAGATTTTGATATTCCTTTGGCTGTGGAGAAAAGATAAGGTCCACTCACTTGGTTGATGTTTTAGGCATAGAGATAGACACTATTACGATCTGTTTTAAAATTCCAAGAGGGAAAAAATGATAGAATTGAGAGGTTAACTAGAAGACTTTCTTAAGAACAAAAAAGGTTAAGGCTCTAAGCCTAGAATCCCTTAAAACTAAATATCTTTAACAAAGCAATAATGGTGTAGCTTTCAAGAGAAGGTTTAATGATGCAGTGATAATATCTCAAGTCCAGAGCATATTTTTCGCATTAATGTTACCCTAACATAGGATATGCCAATGTAGCTATGTTGTTTAAGCAATTCTTATGGAATTGCTTTTTTCCCCTTTAAAGGAAAGGACACATTCTAGGGTTCTTCAATTGTATAAGAATTGTGCGGCGTCAAGTTGACTGGGATGTGGATCCTAAAAAACGGGGAATGTGGATACATTATCAATGGCCAATTGAAAATTTGTCCATAATGAGGGACATAACATTTAATAATTGTTTACTATAGTTGTGTCACTGATGGTGTCGGGTGTTTAAGCGTGGAAAGGTGTGATTTCATACCCATAATGTAACTTTAAGTGTCATCCTAAATTTGCAGTTTTCAAAGTCAAAGGGTAATGAGATAATTAAGGGAACCGGTCTTCTTATTAAAAAAAATAAAATAATTTAAAACTAAGCATATAGTAGGTATCCCTATATCGAGAAGAACATTTAAATACCCACGACGTATGGAGAGTTTTCCCTAAATATAGATAATGCTACGTAGATGACTTTATTTATGCGACGGGTATGCCCAGCCTGTTATAACAAAACATTTAACTGTTTAAAAAGAAAGGCCTTAGAGGTTTTAACTTTCAAGTCAGTAACGTTTATTTCATGCATAGTTTTTTTCCTAATATAGACTGGCCATCTGTAAGTAAACTTTTTTTTCACATCTATGGTCCCTCTCGGCATATTGCACGAGAAAAGTTAGAACGATAAAAAGCACAATTAATGGCATTAATGGCAAGTGCACCTCGCACATCATTTTGAAAGATGTACTGTAGACAGTGTGCGTTAATACTTTTCAATATATAAAAATGTGTCCAATAATCACGCTGTTGATGCAATATCCAAGAAATTCCATTGAGTCATTTCAGTTTAGTTGTTTCAAGTCAAATCTGAGCCACTAATTAACAGAACAATAATGAAACGAAATGAGTATGAAAAAATTAAATTATTTAAAATGATAGTACTTTATTTTTTTAAGACATCGCCACTAAATAATAACATTAAATGTATGTCTTATTTCTTTTAGATCACAATATCGAAGAAAATTTAATTCTGCATGCATTTAAAATATTACATTTCTGACACTCTCTCCCTCTCTCTTTCTCTCTCAAGAGAGATGTTACATTGTACTTTCATTATATAAGAAAAAAAATATGTATATATCAGCCATTCCAGGATTCGAACCCATTCTCAGGTAAAAAGAATCGCATGAAGTCCACACGCTTTACCACTACACCAGCTCGGACACTGAAGTTCATTGTGTTTTTTATGTGCACATTTTGCATTTCGGATGTATAATAATTTTTATTCGATTTTTGTGATTTTCAAAAATATGCCTCTTTGAAACAAAAATCGGAAATGGCAGTTTTGAAGAAAAATCCTCTCTCTTTATGCGTATATCAAATTCATTCTGTTTCAAGGAGGCAATTTTTCAGAACAATGGGGATTCCCTATTTGGAAAACAGAAATCTTGACTTATTTTGCTATGTGACTAATTTACACTTCATTTAATGGTAAATTGGAAGTTGATATGCAATTTCTAGATATTGTTCTACATTGTGCTTTATATACCGTTGTATCTTAAAAAATTTACGACCGTTTTCTATTACTTAATTTTTTTTCTTTTAAACTGCTACAACTTTAGGGAAAATAACAAAAGAACTGCAACACCCTCTTTCTTAAGTTAATTTATATTATTCATTTAATCAATGTATATTTTCTTATCGATCATTCATATCATTTTTTTTTTATGAATTTCAGGTATTGATCGTTTGTTGGATTTTAAACGTTTGCTTCCCGACGGTCAATCGAATATATATGCTATTTTTTCCTTGGCATAATTGGAAAGTTTTAAAATGTCAACAAATGATGGAGCATGGACTGTTAGTTATTTCATAATTTCATTTATTATTAACAAAAAATTATCACACATGATATCGTGTAAGTTTCATCAGATATCTCTCACTGGAATATATCATTATTGTGCCTTAATAAAATTATGATGAGAAAGGGACGTTTCTATCATTTTTTTCTCTCCATGCGAGTTAGAGTATAACACGCTTTAAACGAATAACCAGTTATGGACAATTTTGCTTCGTTATAAATGTACGTTATTTGTTATGTCTTTGCAATATATTTTTAAGCCACTGGCAATGAAAATCACTTCGCTGAAAGTGTCAATTTATTATAAGCGTGTTTTTACTGTATGCTTAAATTACATGCATTTTGATCAAAAAATTTTCTTATGGAAAATATTCAGAGTTAAAGCAAAAATTTAAATGAGCGAACAAAGGAATGAAGAACTTATATCGTTATGTGAATAATTTCGAAGATAAAAGAACCTTCATTGTTTATTGAAATAGGTGATTCCAAGGCGTATGGGCGGAACTAATATCCTTAGGAAATGGAATTAGTATAAAGAGGGATTCGGTTTGGCAAAGATAACAATATGTGGACGGGAGGGAATTGTGTCGCCGAGTATCAAGGAGCCTGGTGGAGTAACTGTCATGCTACATTCCTCAATGGTCCCTGGTCTTCGGAGGACTGGGTCAGTCCGTGGTTTCCTACAGTTAAAGATGGTCATAGGATCAAGGAGACTCTCAGGATGATAAAGATTCACTAGCCCCTTCACAAACGATCGACTCTTCCTCATTTTCCTACTATTTATTTAAACAATACGAAAGCCTCCTTTGGTATTTGGTACGGGAATTAATATTGCAGATTTTGAAAAATAGTGTAAGTAACTCATTTTTACAGGTTCTGTATTTTTTAAATTCTTTTTGCAACAGTTGCAATGTTTATTCCCGCAGTAACAAATCAAAAAAAAAAAAAAAACAAAACAAAAAAAACAAAAAAAAAAAAAAAAAAGATAAGAAAAGAAAAAGAAAAGAAAAACGTTTTTTTGTTTATATTTATGTCTATATAAACAGTCGTACAGTGTAGTTTAACTTTTTAAAACATTTTATTATTGATATATGTTTGTCATTAGGATTTAAATATGATAATCATTTTTTTCACAATCTTCAATTTCTAGAATTTGAAGAAAAAGTGGTCATTGAAAGAAAAGAATTTTAGTGGAAACTATTTTATCAATTAGGAGGAATGTAATGTATGCGCACCCATTATTTGATGTATCAATTATTACTAATCTGTTTGTTTAAATATATCAATTTTTGTTGCGAAAAGATGTTATTTATTAGATATTTTTATGTAATGGTCATATTCATCTGCTCTGTGTACATGCCATTAATAAAGATTGGCTATGGTTCACTTATAAAAGTAAAACTCGTTAGATTTCATTACATGTGTTCGTGCGTTTTTTTATGTACAAAATTTGTTGTAATCCATTCTGATTCTACGCATATATACTCATAATCGATATTAAAAAGATGTTTTAGGGTTCCTAACTTATATATACCTATACAGTGTTTGGAGACCAGATCTTCCACAATTCTGTTGAATTTTTCATGGTTACTGAGTGTATCCCTTTGTTACCTGCTTTGTATTCTGAACTTCTTCATCACTTCAGATTAAAAGAAATATCTCACTGTGGCTTTCATTTCAACATTTAAATAAAATAGTGACGTTTTATCAACATTATTAACAATATTTATTTGCATTCATAAGATGATTCAAAAAGTCCTACTGAACTCGAAATAAAAGACACTTTTTATTGACATTATCATTGATGACAAACATACAACTCTACGTGTATCGAAAACATGATTATTTCAACTTTTGTTATGTAGAAATATAAAACTATTACCCGCAAATGGTGATTATATTTCTCGAAGGATTCGATATCCAAACCATGTTCTTTGTTTGAAAAAGTACTAAACAGACACAGACAACTTGACAATGCCAAGGTATCAATATTTTTATTTTACGTCAACATCTTGCAATTTCTCTGGTCGATACAATGATCTTGTTTGCAAATGTAACCCGTCGAACATTGACTGACACTTTCGAAAAATTATTATAACAAAATTATCATTTTGTTGAATTGGACTACTCTGATAACCAGGCTTTGGGGCCATAAAATTCAGATGAGCTCACATTTGATTTCTGTCTCACTCTACAAAAAGAATTAATACTAGCAAAGTGAGACTGAGATCAAAAGTGAGCTTGTACAAGTTATATGGCCCCGGAGCCTAATTAAGGCAAAAGGCTAGGTTTGCATTAAATATATTTATAAATGGTATCGGAAACACGTGGTGTTGTTTGTTTACGTGTTTAGGAAGTATTTATAGTATCTAAGATTTGATTGGGTTTTAACGATTGATATGAGTTCAAATGAAATCGTGCGGAACAGGTAGTTTACCTGTGTCCAGGTATTAAGAATAAGAGGTTATTCGAGGTTTCGCTGCGCTTAGTGCAACAAGTAAAAAGTCGAATAGATGTCTCGACAAAAAACAGATTTCTTGGCCCAATACCGGGAGGAAGATGAGTCTCTAGACGAAACTCTACTACAAGAAACCGCTGGTGAACAGAAAACCACTCGCAAGACGGCAAATTCTGCGGAGATCTCTGGACACTCTAGCCCCCGTGTAAGTGCGGACTTGGCCGACACCTTTAACCTGTTCAAGTCATACCTGGACAACAAACTAGATACTCTCAAGGAGGAACTCTCTACGGGTAACGACATCGAAAATTTAACAAAAACCATTAAAAAAGAGGTCTCTGTAAAATTCAAGAGTGAAGGGAACAAAATTCAGTTTAACTTTAATACTGAAATATTGAGTGATTTGAATAAACTTAAAAAGCGCATTTCAGATTCTTCCACTTTGAGCATCGTTAGAGAGCTCATTTCCAAGGTTACTAAGCGTAACAAGCTCATCAGGATTGCCGATAAATCTCCGGCCGGGTGGTCGACAGTCCGTGAGTATGAAAGTGATGATTTGGCCTCCGACTCTGAGGACGAAAAACGTCTACGTCAAGCTGAAAACCGAGCATTACGAGCTATCAAGGAAAAACGCCGTTTTCAGCCATACTCCAAGTCTGGTTCTGCAACAACTTCGCTACCTGATGGTAGGTCTGGTGGTTCTGGCCGTAATTTTCGTCCCTACAAGCGAAAGGAGGCCTCTCCATACGACGTGTGCTACAACTGCCATAAGCTCGGCCATTGGAAATCCGCATGCACTGCCCCAGCCAGAACCAACAACCCAAGCACAAGCTCGTCAACCCAGTGATTATGAGAATCAGTATGTATATTTCGTTGATGAATCTATTTTTACTGATCAGTTTGAATCATTTGTACAGCAAGTAAATTATTTTAAAAATTTACCTGATATTGGTAAAGGGGTGAAAGGCAGTTTACGCAAACATTTTGAGTTTTGGAAGTCCATAAGCACTAATGAGTTCATATTAGATACTATCAAAAATGGTTATGTTATTCCTTTTGTTACAGTACCGCCACGCATGAGACTGAATAATAACAAATCTGCAATGAAAAACCAACAATTTGTTGATCAGTCTGTTTCAGATCTTCTTGAGAGCGGCTGCGTACAAGAGGTTCCCTTTCAGCCACATGTGGTCAGTCCACTAAGTGTTGCAGAAAATAAAGGGTCTGGTAAAAAGAGACTTATTCTGGATTTGAGTCAATTGAATTATTTTGTAGACAAAAGAAAAGTAAAGTTTGAAGACTGGCGTATTGCTTTGAATTTTTTCAATAAAGATTGTTTTCTGTTTAAGTTTGATCTAAAGTCAGGCTATCACCACATAGATATTTGTGAAAGTCAGATTACTTTCCTTTCATTCAGTTGGAAAGATAAGTTTTATTGTTTCAATGTTTTACCTTTTGGTCTAACGTCTGCGCCTTATATTTTTACCAAGTGTCTAAGACCCATCGTGAAGTACTGGAGAAGCCGCGGAATTGACATTGTTTTGTATCTGGACGACGGTCTTGGTTTTGGTAAAGATTTACAAACGTGTGTTAAAGCATCAAATTTAGTTCAAGAGACTTTAGAAAAAGCAGGTTTGCTAATTAATATTGAAAAGTCTATTTTTCAGCCTGTCCAGTGTTTGGAGTGGTTAGGGTTGGTATGGGATACCAGTTTATTTTCTCTACGTATACCTGAAAGACGACTTTCTGATGCTCAGAACTCGATAGAATTTCTTATTGATAGATTTCCCAACTTTACAGCTCGAGATCTCGCAAAAGCGGCTGGGAAAGTTATTTCCATGTCACCAGTTGTTGGTAATGTAACAAGTTTGATGACCAGACACATTTATTTAGCTATAGAGAGCAGAAGTCATTGGGATTGTTTAATCAGTTTTTTTATTTCCAGAAGCAGTAAAATCAGAGTTGCAGTTCTGGAAGGAAAATCTTGATAAGTTGAATCAGAAACTGTTAGTTAAAGACTCGTTACCAATAACGCTTGTGTTTTCAGATGCCAGTGACGTTGCAGCTGGTGCATATACTGTAGAAGCTGACGAAAAGGTTTTTCATAAAACTTGGTCATTGAATGAATCTGTTATGAGCTCCACGTGGAGAGAACTTAAAGCTATACAGTTAGCTTTAGAGTCATTTGCCACTTCATTTATTGGAAAGAGTTTACTTTGGCATACTGACAATCAAAATTGTGTTAAAATTGTACAACGAGGTAGCACTAAATTACATTTACAAGATTTAGCTTTAGACATTTTTTCTAAATGTGTTGAAAATTCTATTTCGTTGAAAATTTGTTGGATACCTAGAAACAAAAACACAAAAGCAGATTATTTGTCTAATTTAGTCGATTATGAAGATTGGCAAACAACTCAAGAGTTTTTTAGTTTTGTTGACCAAATGTGGGGTCCTCATACTATTGATAGATTTGCAAGTGTGTATAACACAAAGTTAACGAGGTTTAACTCCCTTTTTTGGTACCCGGAGACTGAAGCAGTTGATGCTTTTACCCAAAATTGGTGTTTTGAAAATAATTGGTTAGTACCACCTATTTGTCTTGTGAGTAAAGCTATAAAACATGTAATAGCGTGTAAATGTGTGGGTACATTAATTGTTCCAAAATGGCCGTCTGCAGCATTTTGGACGTTACTGTTTGATGAAAATATGAAGTATAAACAGTGTGTAGTTGATGTTTTGGAATTTTCACCATATCAGAATATTTTTGTGCATGGCAAAAATTTGTACAGCCTGTTTGGCTCTGACAGCTTTAATTCCAGAGTATTAGCTGTAAGACTCAGTGGAGTCTGATAGACATGGCCTTAGAAGGCATGGTCTGTGTACATATTAATGTTTGAATTTATTTTGTGTTTATTATGACAAGGCCAAGTTTATGGCAAGGTCAAGTATTATTATTAGATTGACATGGCCCTTAATTAGAATGCATTTCTTTTTAAGCTGGCACGGTCAGGAATGGAAAGACAAGGTCGTGCTTATCGACAAGGTCTACTGCGACAAGGCTTTGGTTTCCAAGCATGGTCGGTAATATGACTTTTATTTTAGTTTTGCAGATGTTTTCAAAACTGGAAATTGGATTTCGTTATGGAGGACCTCTCATCCCTCCTTACAATCGCTGGCAAAGAAACTTCCGGATTTAATCATGAATTCCAAGGCTGAAAACACAAGAAAAACATACGGATATGCTTTCAATAAATTTCGTAAGTGGTGTTTTACACATAATATTTCATATCTTCCTGCAACGGATTTCCATGTATCGTTATACTTAACAAGTCTCAGTAATACATGTAGCAGTGCAGGGACAATTGACGAGGCTTTTTATGCAATTAGCTGGGCGCATAGCCAGAGAGGGATGCCATAGAACTATCGGGAAACAGTTGATAAATAAAAAAGAATCTATTACCTCCAATATACTGAAACAATTGTGTGCTCTTTACGGAGGTGAATCGTGTTCTTTGTTAGATATTAGAATATGTTGTATGTGCTTATTAAGTTATGCTGGTTTTTTAAGATTTTCAGAACTTGTTCATTTGAAGAGATCAGATATATGTTTTTATGACAATTATACGACTCTTACTATTCAGAAAAGCAAAACAGATCGTTATAAAGTGGGGAGCAATGTAGTTGTGTCATGTACGAATGAAATTACATGTCCTGTGAGAATGACCAGAAGATATCTCAGTCTAGCAAACATTAACGACCAATCTAATGAATATTGTTTAGATCTATCACTTATTGTAAAAGTTCTAACACATACAAATTAAGAGGAGAAAAGTACTTGTCATATACAAGGGCTAGAGAGATTCTTCTGGACGCGCTCGCATCATTGGGTTTAGATAGAACTAAGTTTGGTCTGCATAGTCTTCGCGCTGGCGGGGCTACTGCAGCGGCCAACCATGGTGTTTGTGATAGACTATTTAAAAAACATGGCCGGTGGAAATCTGATACTGCTAAAGACGGATATGTGTCAGAAAATCTTAGACAGCAACTGTCAGTTACGAAAAATTTGGGTATATAAAGTGTGGGTTTTTGCTTCTGTCTTTATTGGTCGAGGTCTGTTGCACAGACGCAGGCGATGCCGTTCCTAAACATGTGTTGGAGTTTTGAATTTATAAATAATTTATGTTCGGTTGAACTGGTGAATTAGAACATAAATATATTTATAAATGGTATCGGAAACACGTGGTGTTGTTTGTTTACGTGTTTAGGAAGTATTTATAGTATCTAAGATTTGATTGGGTTTTAACGATTGATATGAGTTCAAATGAAATCGTGCGGAACAGGTAGTTTACCTGTGTCCAGGTATTAAGAATAAGAGGTTATTCGAGGTTTCGCTGCGCTTAGTGCAACAAGTCCCCGCCCACCCACCCTACTTTCTAATGTATATATCTGATATGATTTAATATTTTCGTTTTTTATTTTGTAGAATGTTGTTTCAAAGAAGAATATTTAAAATACTGTAACATTTATGTGTAATAAATGTCTGTTGCACAGACGCAGGCGATGCCGTTCCTAAACATGTGTTGGAGTTTTGAATTTATAAATAATTTATGTTCGGTTGAACTGGTGAATTAGAACATAAACAAACCTATTTTGAAGTCTTGTTTAGTTGTTATTGATTTTATGTTTGTTTGTTTTTTATTTTTTTGTTTTGTTGTTGATGTTTGTTTGTTTTTTCTTTTGGGTTTTTTTTGGGTTTTTTTTTTTACTTTATCATTTAAGATTATTAAGGACATTAATGACTATGGTATCTGGAACAGCTAGCTAAACCTCACACCTCACACCTGATCATTGAAGAACACATGGTAACTGGTTCCATATTTATTAACAAGCGAATTCATATCAAATGAGAAATGTCAAATAGTGAGCCAATGAGTGAATGAGCCTAGGTGAGTGAGTCTAAGTGCGCCTATGTGAGCCTAAGTGAGCGAGTGAGGTAAATAACTGAAATAAACAAAATCAAATACTATAATACTTATATACCAAAAAAGACAATAACGGTGTTCCATAGAAATAGCTCACTTATAAACCTTATCATAATAACAAATTAAATTACTATAAAGCATATTAGATAAATTGATAACAATAACTAATTCTCGTGACTTTAAACTTTACATAAAATACCGGTCTGAATAAGTTTTCAATACACAAAAATTCTATAAATAATCACCAAACAACTTTACAAATAATGGGTATGAAGTTACAAAAGTTTCCTATAAAAACTTGCATGGTAATAGGCCACAAATCGTAAGAAGGTATGAAGAATGTTACATGTACATCATCATGGATGGAACTCTAATGGCAGACTGAATGAAAACTTGCACGAGCAAATGAGGGAGATAACTCCTGACACAAAAGATTTCCACTCAAGGAAGATAATTCAAAAATTTACAAAGAAGGATAACTCTTTCACCTGCTGTGAAGTGGCGACCTTGATGTTTACAGAGTTCATGATAGTAACGAACAATCAACAAGGCGATATGATAGTTTCTGGGTATTATCACTGGATTTTTCTCGTTGATTGGTACGTGTTGAGACGTCCACCGACTCTCAGAATTCCATCTTTATCTAAGAATGGTGAAAGAGGTAAAATGTTACTATCTCTAGGTAGAGGTTTTTCTTTCAATATGCACTGGATTTCTTCTAAATACACTTCATTCTGCACAATTTTAATGATAAGTTTCTCAGCTTTGTTGAAATTTTCCACAGTTCTTGAATCTTCACACACATGCCACCCAGAGCATTTACTGTCTCCTTGTTGAAAGAAATGTGCTATATGTTGAAGTCTGGCGATAGTTTTAACAAGTTTCTTCCATTGCCAAAAATGTGAGACTCTTTCCGATTTCAGTCCGAGTCCATAGATGTCAACCTTTATACAAGTGATTTCTTGTCTGACGTCCCTGTCTGAATCTGGGTCTACCATCTCATAGGTTATGCATGGGTGTTGAATCCGTTGTAAGTGTGCAGGTGATGGTGCTAAGAGCCAAGTTCCATTTTGTAGAGCTTGAGCTGGAATCTGTCTCGTTGCTTGATCAGCTGGATTTTTCTCTGTTGATATATACGACCACTGATCTGGTTTGGTCACTTTACGAATCTGCATCACTCTGTTTGCCACATACTGATAGAATCTCCTTGAATTGTTGAAAATTTATCCCAACACTACTTAACTATTACAGTAAAACTTAAAATGTTCAATCGGTAATTCTAGCTGTTCTGATACACACTTAGCAATTTCCACCGCTAGCACAGCGCCACAAAGTACTAAACGTGGTATCGAATGTCCTTGTAAGGGCGCAAGTTTTGATTTGCCGAGGATAAATCCAAAGTTTCATTGTGATTCTACATAGGCAACTGCTGATATTGCTAATTCTGATGCATCACAAAAAATGTGAATTGTTTTGTTCATTGTCTCACTCCATGACTGAGTCAGTTCTAAGTAAACTCTTGGGATGTGTAGATTTTAGAGATGTTGTAAGGAATTTTTCCATTTTTCCCACTGAGTAGACTGATTTTCTGGTAAAGGTTCATCCTAGTTGACTGTTTCTTGAAGTAGATTCTTCATAAGTGAATTGCCGTGGATGATAATTGGGGCGAGAAATCCTAGGGGGTCAAATATACTATTTATTGTTGATAACACACCTCTTCTTGTGAATGGTTTGACGTCATTTGAAATTTTAAAGAAAAAGGAATCTGATTGCAAGTCCCAATTTAGTCCTTGACTGCGCTGTGTTGGTAGATTGTCTTTTGATAAATCCAAGTCTTCCATTTCACTTGACAGATCAGTAGGTGGAAAAGCGTTCATAACTTCCTGGTTGTTTGAAGCTATTTTGTGTAGACGTAATTTCCCATAACTCAATGCTTTCTGTGTTCTTTTCATAAGGTCCACAGCTTTTTCTACAGTAGGTTGTGATGTTAATCCAACATCCACATAAAAATCACATTCTACGTACTGAGTTATATCTGTCCCAAACATATCTTCTATTTCCTTAACAGTCTTGCATAATCCGTAGGTTGCGATGGCTGGGGAGGGACTGTTTCCGAAGACGTGAACCGTCATGCGGTATTCGATTAGTCTCTTTTAAGGATTGTTGTCTTCATGCCATAGAAAACGTAAGAAATTTCGATGAGGTTTACAGACTTTAAAACAATAAAACATCTGTTCAATATCTCCAATTAAAGCGACTTTCTCTCTGCGGAACCGTAATAAAACACCCGGAAGACTGTTTGTCAAGTCCGGTCCGGTAAGTAGTACGTCATTATGCGACTTTCCTTCGAATTTTGCTAAGGAATCAAACACAACTCGAATTTTGTTTGGTTTCTTTGGGTTGTAAACTCCAAACAATGGTAAGTACCAACACTCTTCTCCGTTCTGTAGAGGCGGTGCTATTACTGCATGATGATTCTTAAACAATGCATCCATAAATTCCACGAAATGTTTTTTCTTTGTAGGATCCTTCTGCAAAGTGTAATCTATTTGTTTTGCTCTCTTCCTAGCTTGGTCATAGTTGTTTACTAGTCTTTGACGGTCCTTACGAAAAGGGAGTGGAGCTTGCCAATGTCCATCAAGATCTGATTCATGATGCCTAAGAACTCATGATATAATATAATATATAATATAAAAATTTATGTAGCGCTCTATCAATTTGAGTCCTCTAAAGCGCTTTACAATTAAAATATATAAAAAGAGACAATGTTTAAAATACATAAAAAAGACATGTGAATAAAATTTATCATAATGTCTCTATCTAAATATAAGCCATATTTATATTAAGAAATCACAAATTAAAAGCTAGTTTGAAAAGATGTGTTTTAAGATCCTTTTTAAAACTGGGCAATGAAATACATTCTCTAAGTTTAAAAGGCAGAGAGTTCCAGAGACTCGATGCGGCCTTGTCTAAACGACGGTCTCCGTATGTTTTCGTGCGTGTCCGAGGTACCTGGAGAAGATGCGAGAATTCTGAACGTAGTGATCGTGGCGGGTTATAAACAGTCATGATGTCTCTCATGTCATCCATAGAAAGTCCTAACTTTTCATCATTCTCTGTCCTCTGAAAAACACTTTCACCAATTTCAGTCTTTGTACACATGATGTTTGTTGAGGTTTCATTGAGGATTTTTCCCTTGACCTGTAAGTTACTCTTGCAAGGTAGCATCAGAGTTGGACGACCATCAGATAAAGTTTTCATGACATTAATGACATCTAGTTTATGGGTTTTTCCCAAACAAGTTTCACCAATGATAGTCCAACCAAGGGACAGTTTTTGGGCATAGGGTTGATTTCCCAATCCAATGCGTTGGTCTAAAACGTGATGTGCTTTGGTTACGTCCCTTCCCATCAGTTACAGGATTTCTGCATTAGGATCAACTGGTGATATGTGATCAGCAACGTCATGCAAATGTTCATAATGTAGGGCTATGTCTGGCGTAGGAATTTCCTCTCTGACTTCAGGAATTTCATCACACTCAATGATGGTACAGACCCTGAAACGTGCCACTACCCCCAAAAAAGCGTGTAACTTTCGTGCGCTTTTCGTTTCGTGCAAACCGTGTAGCGTTTCGTGTAAACCGTGCAGCGTTTCGTGCAAACCGTGTAGCGTTTCGTGTAAACCGTGCAGCGTTTCGTGTAAGCTCCAAAGCGTTTCGTGCAAACCGTGTAGCGAGCGTGCGAGAAGCGTGTGAGAAACGTGCGACTTTCGTGTAAGAACCGTGTGAGAAACGTGCGACTTTCGTGCAAGAATCGTGTGAGAAACGTGTAGGATTCATTCGGAAGTCATTTCATTTTAAATATGGCTATCGATGGGTCAGGATGTAAAATGGTGTTGTTTATAGCTAATATTATTCGGAGATATTATACTGGATGTATTTTAAGAGTAAAATTAAAAAAAAATATGAGAGCAACAAAATAAAATTACACGGTAATGTATATTTAATTTGTTTCTCTTTATTTTTTCCCTCAAAAATAAAGATGGACAGGAAATTTATTCAAATTAATTACATGTAATAACAGTGTATGTTCAACATTTTTAATGAATTGATTTTAATGCACAATCGGAGTGATCATATCTTTTTTATTTTATTTTCCAAAGATAGCAACAAACGAAATTTCAAACGAAATTTTATCAGGACTCCGCTCTTGTCTATTACCAGATTGTATTAAATAATTTTAATCAAAAATGTGTGTCATTAATAGTCTTCAAACACATAGCATTGGTTGATTAATAATTGAAATTATGAGCATAATTCACATGCATTTACGAACGCAGGATTAGAAATTACCGAGAAGGGGGGGGGGGGGGTGGCGCATTTCAAAAACGCAAGCTTTAAATTTCAAAATTTGTCGGTACCGGGTGTTAAAAAGCATAATTGACTTTCTTTTGTATAAAGAAATAAATAATTTATGTGGTGCATCGGATGCACCACTTAAAATATATTGGAATATTTAAATCTTCAACTTCCCATTTGCAATGTGCGAATGTGATCAAGGTCATTTACGACAGCGACCTCGGGCTCCACGGACAGGGAACTGAAAACTTGTTCTGCTTTTATCTTTTATCAATCATGTCTAAAATATACCCGAGAATAATGATTGAGTTTAAATTTGTGGTATTAAATGCTTATTTTTTTTAATTTAATTGGTACACATAATACCCGTGGATTTTATTTTTAATCGACCCAAATTTCCGTGATCAGTAGATTGTTTGGCAGTCACAATAAAAAAGAGTATAGAAATAAATTATAAATAACAATTACATATCAGTTGTTTTATAAATCAGGCAGCTTTAATTTGTATTAAAATATTCGAGTTTTCATGTAATGTACTTGGACATGTATACACGAATATTGCATGGTAAGTTGTGCCGTGACTATTTGTAAATTACATAAAATTTCCCCTTAACCGAGTTTTATAATGAAGGAATTTACAAGGTGATGGGTACATGTATATTGTATACCCCCCTCCCCGCGCGTTTTTCTTCCATTCTTCCATATAGAATTCTAATGTTAAATTAAACTCTATAATAAAACGTTTAAATGTTAAAACTACCATTTGACATAAAATGTTTTATTTTATTAAATCTCGCTGGAGTCATGAATATTTTTAAGCACAGTTACTTGTTTCTCTAATAATTTTTTCCCGATAGTATAATTACTATAACGACTGCCGGTGGTCTTTAGCCATGTCAGATTTACAGATACACAAGTAAGATCTCGGTAATCCCCCCCCCCCCTCCTCGCCCCGACCAAAAGAGAGAAAGAAATTAAATGCATAATCATCCTCTTTTCTGCAATGTACTTATTGATTTTGCATATTAAAGAGGTGAACCTGAATTAATTAAATAAAATAAACTTACTGCTAAATCATAAGAAAATCGATCCTTTCACGGAAATAAACACGGTACAATATTCATTAAAAATTAATTACTTAAGTTATATTTCGCTAATAAACGAGTTTTTAATATAATACATAAAAAAGATTAATGCCGAAAGAAATTATGAGGGACAAATATAAATGTTTCTCTTGCAGTGTAAAATTTAGAGAAAAAAGGATGTACACTGACGATGATGGGCATATCACCTCAAAACAAGCGGATTACAAACGGAAAGACAATCATGAATTATTATCTACTAAACTTTGAATATTTCTATCAGTTTATAAACATGTAGTACAAGTGTAGCGAGTTTTAATTTAAAACATACTGTGAAAGATTGCGACTCTAAATTAATCTATATTTAACCCGTAAAAAAATAAATAATGCCCGAGAGATTACGAACAGAATATCCAGATCGAGGCCAAAGCGTGCGAGAATCGTGTACAAAGCGTGTGAGAAACGTGTACAAAGCGTTTCGTGCAGCCTTTCGTGTAAACCGTGCAGCCTTTCGTGCAAAGCGTTTCGTGTAAACCGTGTAGCGTTTCGTGCAAACCGTGTAGCGTTTCGTGTAAACCGTGCAGCGTTTCGTGCAAACCGTGTAGCGAGCGTGTACCGTTCGTGCAGCGTGCGTGTGGGGTAGTAGCACGTTTCAGGGTCTGTAGGTATATCTACACAGTTTTGTCTAATGAAGGGGACACTTGTTTTCTTTTCCTGAGTTACGAAGAATCTGTGGAGAATCTGTGGTTGCCGAGACACAGCTGTTTTCCTGCTTGAAATCTTCAGAGTTTTGTCACTGTGTTTCGGCATATGTAAGTTTCTATCTGTATAAGCAAAACTGGGATTGTTCTTTATACGGCTTTGCTCACGAATAAAGTTTGCAAATACATGAAATGGGGGAAACACAACATGATGTTCACTTATGTATTTTACTGCTGTATTCGTCCATTTTTCTTGAAGTTGGTACGGAAGCTTCATGAAGATGTCGACGCATCAAAGTATGCAAGTAATGACTGGTAACGGATATCTTCTTTTGCTCCTAGGATTTCATCCAAAATATCAGACAAGTCATATAGACGACGATAGTCTTTCGATGTAATAGGAGCAAATGAGTTCAGTTTTGTTTTTAAAGCAGATTCTATCATTTCAGGACAACCAAATCTCTCCTCTAATCTTTGCTAAATTCTTTGAAGTCCATGCACTGGATTGCTCGCACTTGCTGCTTTAATGCTGATAATCTGTTGTTGTGCTAATAAACTAGTGAATTTGATAAGAAAGTCAATTTCCTCTTCTGGTGTCACTTGTAAGTCTCTCATAACAGATTTAAAGGTTGTTTTCCACGACGGGTAGAATTCAGGTTTGTCGTTAAATTTGATGAGACGTCACTGTTTGTCCTCCTACACTCCAGGACGGCTGTGGTGGAAAGTATGGAAGAGCCTGAGGATTCAGTATAGATGTACAAGGTTCTGGAATGCAACTGTGACTATGTTGAGTAACATTTTCTTTCACAATAGTTTCAGGTTCTACACAAATGTTTTTATTTTGAGTTCTGATTTGAGCATGTCGTTCTACATATGATTTTGTACGTTCTTTACTGTCAACACTCTCTAAATGTTAAATACATGTATCACTATGACCACACTGACTTCCTTCCTCCTCAATGAGAATTTCCGCTTCAGCGACCGCGACTTCC